ATTTATCTCTGGGCAAGAGACCCAGATCCTCTTCTGTAGACACTGAGTCGATTCCACTTTTGCGCCAATGGCACCGTCTGAGACTTATCGATGGTGTTGTCTCCCGCTGCTATCGGATTTGCGCTGGTGGTGAGACCAGATACAGCTGGTTGTCCCAAAACAGCTGATACCTGGTGTGCTGACGTCACTACATGCCGGCCCTGCTGGTGGCCATTTTGGCTCAGAGTCGCGCGAGTTTTGGTGGTGCGGGATGGAGGCTGCCATCAAGGATGTTTGCGGCCGGTGTGAGAAGTGCAAGACGCGAGCTACTCCTATTCCGCGCCCAAGGGCTTCAATGGGTGAACTGCTTGCCGATGAGCCTTTTGCGACTGTGTCTATCGATTTTCTATGTGGCCTGCGCACGACGGCCCGTGGAAAGCAAGCATCTTCTGGTGGTCTGTGATCATTTTACTCGCTAGTGTGAAGTGTTTCCGGTTCCCCGGCATGACCTGCCGCCACTGTTGCTGGTGTGATTGTCAACCAATTTATCGCGCGTTTCGGATGCCCCCGCCGCATTCATTCAGACAATGCTGCGAATTTCTCTGGCACTCTTCTGGCTGAGGTTTGTCGATTGCTGGGTGTTGAGAAAACGCATTGCTCTGCTTTCCATCCTGAGGGGATTCAAAGTGCGAGAGAATGATGCGAACGATACTGGACATGTTGGCAAAGTACTTGGACGAGAACCATGGCGACTGGGACGCTCACTTACCTCTGCTCATGCTCGGATACAGAGCCAAGGTACATTCTTCACTGCGAATCCAGACACCATCTGCTGTCCCCAAATGCGCCACGATTTCTGAGTATCTGACCGGACTCGCAGAGTGGATCAGACTGTCTCACAAGTTTGCGCTGCAGGCCTCAAACAAGCGTCATGCGCGCAACAAGAGGTTGTTTGACAAGAAGCTGACCATGTACCACTTTCAGGCTGGTTACGCAGTGTATCTTTTCAAGGGTCTAGCTCAGCGAGGCCAGTACTACAAGTTTGTCAGGCCATGGAAGCCTGCGGTGGTTATGGCTAAGCTGTCTGACCTCAATTACAGGGTGAGTGTGTTGGGAGGGAAGAAGTCTGTCGTTGTTCACCACAATAGACTGAAACCTCGTTCCGATGACCCCTCAGCGCCTGTCGCAGGCCCAGACATGACGATTCCCGGCTCGGCGTTATCTGCGGACCCCGAGGCTGGAGATCAGCCTTCACCCCGATCACCTCAGCCACCAGATGGCGCGTCACCGGAGGGCGAGTCGTACTTGTCGCCGTTTGCTCGTGACACATTTCCAGCCGGCGAGGTTCCGCCAGAGGTGCAGGATTTATCCGCTGCGGTTCCGGAGGGACGTGTGTGTGAGCACACCCCTGATGGGCTTGATGTTCCTGTTTCTGCTCCGGATGGTGGAGATGGACCACTGACCGGACCTGTGTTGGTGCCTGATGGGCCCGTGACCGCTCCTGTGTTGGTCCCTGATGTGTCTCCGATGGCCCCTGCTCCTGTGCCAGCCCCCCGGCGCTCTGACAGGGCTTCTAGGCCGCCGCGTCACTATTGTCCGAGTTAAGTCGTTACTTAAGATTTGCTTAAGTTTGGCTAAATGTGGCTAAAATGCAATGGAAACGAATGAAATGCAATGGGATTATATCAGGACAAAATGTACCGTCTGGGTGTTATTCTGGCGTCGTATTTGGCAATGTCTTCGCAGGCCTACCGGTGTAGCGCTACCGGTTGGTGTGTCCTGTTAACGGGACGGTGCAGATGGGCATGGCATGTCATTGGAGTGCTGCTCACTGACTTCACGAACCCTGTTTCCCAGTACCCCAGTCATGCCTCAAGCTGAAGCTGTTCTTTATTATTCCAGTTAGTGAAGCTGAAAACTACATCGCGCGCGGCCCAAGGATTGCGTGTGATGTGGGTTAACTTATCCCGAACTGTGGGCTGCGTGTGCTGCGTATGTCGTGTGTTTTACCTAGCGTTCGCCAGATGGGTCGTCGCTGCGGCCGAGCTCCGTGGCCGTGATGTCCGCGGCGGGCTCCGTGGCCGAGCCCGGTGGCTGTGCTCCGCGGCCGAGCTCTTCGGCCGAGATATATGCGGACGAGCTCTGCGGCCAAGCTCTGCTTCGGTGTTCCGCGGCCGAGCTCCGCGTCGGTGTTCTGCGGCCGTGCTCTGCGATCGTACGCTGCGACAGAAGATTGCATAGTGAAGTCTCTTTTGTTAACAGGGTCGGGTGTAGTAGGTGTATCGCTCGCATGTCTAGTTTGATTTAGCGCTCGTTTCTCGTTTGTGAGTTACTTAGTTTGTTATTATCTTGAGGTCTAATTTAGTGTTTGTCAGTCCATGCTATTTTCGTATTCATTTTGCATTGCTAATTTTAGTCTGTTCTGTCGGTTTCCGCTCTGTTTAATTCTATGTCTAGTCTGTCCATTTCTGAGGTTTCGTTATTTCCCGTCAGCGTCCACGAGGAGTTGATGCGCGGTGTTGGCGATGGGCGGTCGTGAAATATAGTGCACCTGAAACCTCGGTGTCTTCGACGTGGCGGCCTTCTACACAGGAACGAGACCGAGGCCCGCGATTTACGATTCTCGGTGTCCCTTACACAGTGAGGGCTACTGCGTCGGTCAGGGGCCAGTGCCTGACAGGGGTCCTGTGGTGGCAAGTGACCCCGAGTCGGAGCGGTGTTTGAGGGAGACCGAAGAGAGGACAAATGTTCTCTCGAGACCAGTGATCAAGAGCCCAATTGGATGGCCGAGAGGTCTGATGGGCTGGTTGTAGGTCACATTAAGGACCCCTGCCCCTAGGGCCGTGATCCCAAATGGGTCAAATGGAAATCTCGGGCACCGATAGGGACCCCTGAGACAGAGCGTTCCTCTATTTCGGGCAGAGATCACGAACAACGGCCAATCGGCTCCGCGTCGTGCTGAGCTCTGGGGCCTATTTCCCAAGAACGAACAATGCCGGGCGCGCGATTTACATTGGTCGTGACTCCTGTGTCGTTCAAGGACCAAGAGTGCCTAGCAGAGTATTCTGTGTCGACAGTGGGCCTCGAATTGGTCAGAGGAAGCATTGCCGAACAAGGACGGGGACGGGAGCCCGAATGGCAGAGGGTCTCTTGTGTTGGTCCAGACACTCTGACAACTGAGGGAAACATAAGAACTTACTATTAGTTCTCACCTTAAGGCAATAGAAGGGTCCTGTGCCAGTTAGGGACCCAGTACCGAACGGCGAGTCCTCCAACCCAACTCTAGCATGGGTCTAATGAGCCGAACTGAAGTCTATGTGCCAATTATTTGACTACCTTCGGCGATCAGGGATGTTGTGACATCAGTGAGGGCTCATGCGGCGAGCCTGGGCCAACTGCGCCGGTCAAGAGGCCTCCTGTGTCAGGGAGGGGAACAATAAGATAAGATATATCCCTCTAAGAGTCGCCGGATTGGCCAGGAAATCCTGCCAGCGGCGCCAGAATGATGACTGGACGGCGCACCACGTTGGGACAGACTGACCCTTCAACCCTTGACCGGGAACAACAATGTGGCCCGTAGTGTTCTACTCAACGGACCCCTTCACCAGAAAGAAATAGCGGGTTTCATAAGTATTGAATGAAAAGAGACGAAATTAGCTTGAAAACGCACAAGGCCAGCCCATGTGTGCCTGAGAACGCACAGTCTTTTGCAGAATCGACTGGTGAAAGAAATAACATCGAAATGTTTGAGCCTGCGTGCCGGGCACCGACAGTGGAGTAGTTAACACACATGTGTTGACCACTGCGCGTCTAGGCAACCAGAGGTACGGTGTTCGATTCCGCGCAATGCCCGCCCCTCCCACCAGGGTAAGGCAGGCGGCGCCATATAGCCACAGCAGATGAGTGCGTCATAAAGCCCCAATGACACGCCCGCGACCTCGGGAAGCCAGGACAGCGATGGCTTCGGTTGCAGTTTTCGTAAAACTGACCGGCGTTGGCCCCTGCAAGCGACGCCAGGCGGCAGGCACCGCGCGCGCCACAACGACCATCATAAAATGATGTTTCTGAATATCTTTCAGAGTCAATTCGCACTTTTCAAAGATTACTCGGGGCAAATCTTTTTTACAATTTTGTGGTTGTCCTATGGACAGATTAACGATATTGCGAGACGGAATACGTTATTTCCGCCCCTTTTTACCTGTACTGTGTGCCCATGTGTGTGTGATTTGTCCCCCCCCCATTTTGTCAGTAAAAACCCGTTTTTTAGACCTTCGAATTAAAAATGACATTTTCAGTTCTGGTTGTCTCCTTTAGGTTCTAGCCTCACCCCGTCACCCCTGATGATTCCTGCAATCCCATAGTCATGATTACGCGCATACCCCAGAAATAAAAAAAATCCACATTGCGTTATCTTAAGCGTACATTTCAATGCCTATCTTTTCAATGCCCAGCTCCCTGGCTCGTTGTTATGACATTCTTTCATATGCTTACACGTTAAGAGCGCCTGTTTCTTCATGTATACCACTTCTGTGTTTAATAGGCATTCATTATGCTTGTCAATTTTTGGGTTGTAGCAGTGGTTGCCTGAGAACACAGTAAGAAACCTCTCTAATTTGGTAGCTATACAAAACATTTTTCCAGCAGTGACGTTTGTACGTCTATCAGAATAAATGCGTGTACCGGACACGGTCGATTCGTCTGAAACAATCAGAACTTAGTATTTTACCAAAGAGAAAGAAAGACAGAAAGAGAGGCGATGATTTTCGCCGCGAACACATTGTAAGCGTGACCTGCCCGGGGTCCTGACCTGTGACCTGACCTGTCCGGGGCAGATAACGATCTTGCGGGTTGAATAACTGCGAATCTTTTCGCTGAGGCGTGAACAGTTTGTTACGCATTTCATTAGCTGCCCGCAAAGAAGCGCCCAAGCAACTGTCAGTCGTCGATTCAACTTCGAGATGAGGCGCCTCACCACTGATGCCAGCCAGTACGGTCGATTCATCTATGACCATGACTCACACCATTGTTTAACATATATTCCATCCTTATCCAACGAGCATTGAGATAAGAAGGCGAGTGCAAGCATAGGTCATCTGCGCACATGCTTTATTTTCCGTCCTGTTGTTCCTTTTTGCAGGCAGTTTTGTGTCAATTTCATGCAACGCACAGTCGGGCCATCTAACGTCCAACTGCTCCGACGTTCGGACAGCCAGTGACAAAAACAGCGAGACGCACGTTGACAGTTTTTCGGACGGCGTTACATGAACCACACGAGTGATACAGACGGCTAACAAGCTCGGCTAGGCATGCAACTCGCCGATGTTTCTGAGAGAAACAAGTCGACCACCCCGTCAACAGGCATCACCAGAACTAGGCTCAAGCCGGCTTAGACACTATCAGCAAATCCAACACGCCCATTCTCCACGTCGTAGGCCGTGTAGAACTGCTGCATAAAGAGGGTGCCGAAGAGCCACTGGTCAGTAAGCGCCGGAAGGCCGAAGAAGCCGGAGGCGCATAGCTGCTGGCCGCCAAAAGTCAGGACGAACGTGTACTGCTGCGGCGTCATCTCCATCATGCGCCCTCCGATCTTTATCTGCATGGTGGGCAGGCCGCTCAGCGTGGCGCAGTCCAAGAAGTAGAAGCCGGGCGTGTTTGGCACCGCTGTGCCGCCCAGGATGTCGCTGATCGCCTTCGCGCGCTCAAGGGACACCATGAAGTAGGGCGTGGTGGAGGCCATGATGACGCTGCAGCCGTCCGGGCAGAGCGCCGCCTCCGGGTGGCCGTCGAGCGCGATGCTATCCGCCATCACCGTCCAGGAGGCAGCGGAATTCACAATGTTGGCCCAGGTCATCTCGCCGCTGTACAGGTCCTTGTTGACGGCGCCGAGGCTGAGCTCGCCGCCCTGCGGGTCGCGGCCCAGCCAGAGCCCGAACACCTGCTCCGGGATGAGGCCCTGGTTCACCATGCTCGTCAGCAGGGTGTCGTTACCGAAGCCGAGGCCAAGCGTGCCGTCATTCCGTGTCATCTGGTCAAAGGTGTTGTTGTCGGAGGTCCCCTCGCCGAACGTCTGGGAGGCGACGGTGTTGCCGGCTACGTGCAGCGAGTCCGTGGACAGGAATCCGCTGATGTTCTGGCCGGGTAGGGTGAACGGTGTGCCGTCCTCCTATGGCAGGATGGGTGCCATTCAGCGACGCAGATGGCCTCGTGATAGGAGATGATGGGCCCTGTTTCGTCGTTCAGTTGCATGGCCCCTCGGTCGCGGGGATGCCATAGAATAGCAAGCACATAGAGGAGGTTTGGTTTGTTCGGAACTGATCACGTATATATTCTCTTTGCTTGGACGGTGTCTGGAGGAAGATGTCGGTGTGGATACTTTACACATGTGCAAATTATCGACACATATTCAAGATGTCAGATGTTCAAAGTCACAAACTCCTTTCCTCCGTAATGGTTCTGCTCGGAACTTTGGGTTGGCGTGAGACAATATCAAGGCCTAATAGGCATAACACGCCTAATAGACCTATAGGCCTAGGCCAAGACCTAATCAAGATCATGAAAAAATACTCTCTGTCGCGTCTTCATGCACCCCGCGGTCCACGTTAAAACATGCAGGTGCTTCTGCACGCTCATCCATCACGACTGAGCGGGCCTATGGATATCACCCATACGCCCTTACCTTGTAGGTAGATGATATCGATGAGTCATACCGCTTGCGCATCTTGCATCCCGGATCTTCGCATTTGATGGACGGGAAATAACTGAGGGCGTGTTGTGTGTCGAAGACTGCCGACATGACCTGGGGAGGCGTCCCTACGGCGACGTTCCCTATGAACATCTGAATTCCCTGAAAGATGGACGGATGTTCTGAGACACCGACCTCTGGAAAACGGTGCGCTGGACATACAGCCAAGCGCCAACATACCGACGCTCGATGCAGCACGTCCTGCCCCGGCTGCGAACCAATGTACAGCACAAAACAGCTATTTCGGCGACTGATCGTAGCGCTCTTTATCAGCCGATCTCGCGTCTCTGACTGACGTTGGCCTTGGAGTTCTCGAGCAGCAGACTGATTGGAGAGGAGTTGCCGCCGGTGCTCTTGCTGGTTTCGTGGACCTCAACGGCGGCGGCCTCCAGGGCTCCCAAGCACGCGCAGAGCAGCAGCAAACGCAGCATGGTGGCTTGTGAGGAGTTTGGTCGGACCAGCTAAGTGCAAGCTGCGGGAAAAGAAAAACACGCTGCGGTCATGTGGCACTGCACGAGTTAAGCTAGACTGGTCACCACAAGCTGAGCCTGCATTGGATGCATTTACGAGAGCGGTGCAATTCGACATCGCTTCCTTTTTGTTAATGGCTGAAAGACATTGATGACTTGAACGGTGAACTTCCAGTACTGGGATTCACATTACAGTCCACTGCCCGTGTCTCTCAGCTGCAGAAAACGGCACGCTCAGATGAGGAACCGGTACCCACCCCTCCTCATCAAAGGACAGGATTCAGAAAAGAGCCCCTAACAAGTGGATACTTCACACATTTTGACCAATCAGAAGCCGTCCGGCCACCGCGCTTACCTGCAGCAGGCCGCGGACAAACGGCAGCGCCGGAGAGCGAGACGCCGCCTGCGAACGCCGACCAGCTTATCGCGTTCCGCCGCCGCCGCGCTTTTATACGCCCTGCGAGAGGCCCGATAACTGGCGGCTTATGCCGCAACTGCTATCAGAAGCCGCCAGGAGCCCACCCAGGGTCGCCCGCAGGATGACAAATCGGACCGGGCGACACCTACCACTCCCGCAGGTTTCATCTGGCGCAGATTGCTAGCACGTCCGCCATGCGTGCGAGTTATTTGTGCGCCTACTAATGTGTGTCACTGGCATTGAACGGATGGCGTTCTGCGCAAGTAATTTTGCACACGGGATCGAGTTGCACACTTTTGCGCACAGTGTATGTGAGGCGATTTTGTCATCAGACATAACTGCACCGGGCATTGCGAATAGCGCTTCCATACCACAGCATGCTGTGCACTATCATCCCTGCATGTGGTGGGCACCGGTCTCGCGTCCACACTGAAGTGCATACCTGTGGTATAGGAGCATCTTGACTTTTCTGTTTGGAGAGACCAAGCAACGGAAAAGCATGAATCGTCCAATTGCGCTAGACGGTGTCACGACAGGATCAGGTACATGACAATACATGAGCAGCTGGCCTAAACGCCTGTCTCGCTTAGGGCGTCTGCAGCGTTCTCCAACCCCGCAGACGATGTTGCCAGGATAGCAAGGGCTTGTTATCCGTGAAATTAATTGACCTCGATTAACTGGTTGTCTGGTTCGGTTTGTCCCATGCGACCAACTGTGCGCACATCTCAATTGCGTCTCTATAGCCATGAAATCCCCTCCGGCCTTTCAAAAGTGAGGACTGATGGTCAACAGTCGATGACGAGTAGTTCGTACGCATTCGCGAAATAAAACCTTATCCTCAACCAAGGTTTCAAATCGCTATTTATTCAATTTAAATCATGACAGCCCAACGGCGGATGCAAGGCAACGATGCTACTTGAAATGGCTACCTACGAAGACCCATCGCCAGCAACACGGCCACGATAGCGACAGCACTTACTCATGCCCAAGGTTAAAGTATATCTTGTGGAATAAGACCACATAATACCTTCGTGTTTTTATCGCCTAAGAGAGCAGATACTGCCCAGCTGTCACATGCGCTATACCTCGATCTCGCAGGCCATTGGAACTACGAAGTATGGAGAGAAGTCTATCTCCGGGGCGGAGGTGTTGCGTACCACCGCAACCTGAGACGTGCGGAGATGTCCAAATGGAGCACCCAGACGTCCGTGGATCGAGTCCTTTGTAGACCGTAGCTGGGTCTTTGTTTGAATGGTCAAAGTGCTCGTTCAAAGCCGGCGTGGCAGGCGCTGCATAGGTAGAGGTTAACATATCTTATATTACGGCGCACGAAACATGTCTGTGTTGTGTACGCGCGCCCTTGTCCCAGCCCAGTGCTAAATTGTCAGTGTCAGAAAAACTGGAAAATGTTTAACCGTCAAAAGCCGGCATCATTCTTAAGAAATGCATGGAAAACAAGTTAATGCACAGGGCGCAGTTTTAAGGGATGGATAAGCATGTGGACTTGAGTGGGGACTCAGAAATGAATACATTCCTATCATTCGGCTAACGCCGTCTTTTTATTGCCGTACGATTAAAGATATTGCTACAAGTAAGGGTCTGCACAAAACTCAGGAGAAATTGCTCACAAAATAGTGTTTTTTCCACAACTTCTAAGCACAAAGCCGCGTCGCGCTGAAACTTTCGGGTGGCGGAATTTGCACTCAGTTGTATTTCTTAGTATAATAAATCTACCCAGGACTTGGAATATTTGAGAAGTCGTGTGGCGTCTTGGTATCTGGTCTTGTTCCACAACGAAGGTATTAAGCATCACTGAGATATAAACCTACCGGCCAACCCTTAGCACACTACCGCGTTTGAGCGCTGAAATGTGTGTGCAGGAATGACTGCGCTCCTCTATAAGTAATGAACGCGTTTGAGTCCTCATTTGATCGCTGTGCTGTCGCAGCTCTGGCTGTAAATTTTTGCTTGATGATTTCGCTGCATTAGGAATACTTCGGACTCAGGAACAGTGGTGGAGCCTCATGAAAATGATGTAGGGTAATAATTATGAAGCTTTGGAATGTAAAAGAAGCTCACTTCTGCTCTGGTGTTGACTATAGGAATCAAAATTTTAACATGTCTAAGATTTTGCAGTTGGTTGCACATTACATTTATTTCACCGAAAAAGGTAACATGCTGCAAGCCAAGCTCTAACAATTGCAAGAAAACTAAGTGCTGCTTAATGCTCCGGTTGTGAAATCGGTTCCAGACATGAAAGAGGACGGATTCAGAAAGGGATAAGTCAGCCACATCCGCCCCCTCCCCAGGACCCAAGAAGGTCAGTCAGGCAAAATGGCATATGTCTAAACACGGAAGAAAATCTGGCAGTTTTGGCGTAATGAAGACAGATTTAAAACAGTCATTTAAGTAAAATGAAGCAAAATATTGAGCTTTTAAAAATAAGACCTTTTCAGAAACTTGCCCTCCCTAGCCCATCGTTGCTCCCCCTCCCCACCGGCACCTGGTTTTTAGCCCACAAGCATGACTGAAAAGAGGCATTTTCATGCAGTTATTCAACTGAAAAGCGCGTTCGAATTTCCCTGCACATGCCTGGATATGCAACATCCTGCGCATTCGTATGACTTCTTCCTTGGACCTTCACAAGAAGTAGGTTTTATTTTATTCTCCCTCCCCCCTATCAGGGCGAGTTAAGTCCACTCATCGTTAAGAACCATGACATGCTGTGCTCTATCTGTGAGCCATGTCGTTAATTGCAGATTTGGAAGCGGTGTGAGAAGTCGGTCTCTGCGCTGCACTCCGCTGGGTTAGTCAATCTGGTGTGATCATATATTTCTGCTTTCATTTCTGCGGTAGCCCAGTGACGTTTTCCTGCATATATTGTCTTTGCAGCATACTCCACGTGGAAGTTGAGTGTGATTAGGTTAGATTAGGTTAGGGTGCAAGGGGCCCACATGGCTTCAGGTTTTAGGAATATAAGACGCTCCCCGAAGTTAGCTGGCTATCCGTGCTGGGATTTCTGGTATGTGTGTGATGTTGTTCCGTCCTGCCGGCACCATCATTTCTCTCTCGCTACATCTTAGTTAACCTCCAGTGTTCCACAAAACTCCTTTAGGACGCCACTGAATCTCATATTACTTACTGTCTTAATGTGTATTCTTGGTCTATAGATCACAAGGCACGTGTTTGCTTCAAAATCAATCCACGGGGTGATTTTTTCAGGTTCTCCGCTCGTTCTCCGCTCAACTTTCGCCAAGTTTGGTTCGTTTCATCATTCACCCTCTCGTGCAACCACAAGTGAACATCTTAATGTCCTAAGCTTTCCCAACCTGCCGGAAATTCGCCAGCGTTGAGTGCTATGACCGGTGCCGGCATGGTTTCGGGTGCCCGTGCTGTGGTTCCCCTACAGAGGTGGGCACTCGTGCTGCAGTGGCCGTACAGGGGTGTGTGCCGGCGCTGCGGTACCCGTGCGGAGATGGGCGCCCATACTGCGGCACCCGAGCGGAGGTGGGCGCCCATACCGCGGCACCCGTGCGGAGATGGGCGCCCATACCGCGGCACCCGTGCGGAGGTGGGCGCCCATACCGCGGCACCCGTGCGGAGGTGGGCGCCCATACCGCGGCACCCGAACGGAGATGTGTACCCATACCGCGGCACCCGAGCGGAGGTGGGCCCCCATACCGCGGCACCCGAGCGGAGGTGGGCGCCCATACCGCGGCACCCGAGCGGAGATGTGTACCCATACCGCGGCACCCGAGCGGAGATGGATGCCCATACCGCGGCACCCGTGCGGAGATGAGCGCCCATACCGCGGCACCCGAGCGGAGGTGGGCGCCCATATCGCGGCACCCGAGCGGAGATGTGTACCCATACCGCAGCACCCGAGCGGAGGTGGGCGCCCATACCGCGGCACCCGTGCGGAGCTGGGCGCCCATACCCGCGGCATCCGAGCGGAGATGTGTGCCCATACCGCGGCACCCGAGCGGAGATGGGCGCCCATACCGCGGCACCCGTGAGGAGATGTGTGCCCATACCGCGGCACCCGAGCGGAGATGGGCGCCCATACCGCGGCACCCGTGAGGAGATGTGTGCTCATACCGCGGCACCCGTGAGAAGATGTGTGCCCGTGCCGCGGGGGACGAAAGATCAGCCCGGCCAGAGCCGTCGGCTTGGTGTGCGGCACGGTCCAGACGGGCTACTCAGCCGATCGACTCTCTAGAGTGGCTTCCACAGGCAGCGTGACTACCGGTAGTCACGAGTAGCCACCGGTACCCATCGGGGTGCCACGGCTAGCGCAAGCGACCGTCTCTGACGTCCGTGGGGCTCCCTGGGTTTTCCTCCTGTGAGACGCAGGACTGCTGTAGGTGGTGTCTGTCGCCTCAGTCGGTGCGAGGAGTCCGGTGGGAGGACTTACCTGCCACCAAGCCTACCCTGGGTTGAAGCTGTCTGTAGTGCAGTGGTTTAAGCGCCTGCATTTGCCACTGCGCGCCTAAGAAACCAGAGGTGTGGGGCTCGATTTCCCGCGGTGCCCATCTCTCCTGCCAGGGTGAGAGGCAGGCGAGGCCATATTGCCTCCGCAGCTGCATGCATCGTAAAGCCCCACTGAAAAGAGCGCGCGCGCGCACACACAAACACACACACACCACGGATGGTCTGATCAAAGTCAACCAAAAATATCTGATACTGGGCTGACGTTCATCTCGATTACGCTCACTGAAGCCATATCGGTTTACTCTGCTCTTGAAAGCTCCTGTGAAGAGGCCAGCAGGTGACTGTGTCAGTGGAAACTGCGGAGAGTGATTTGATATCAAGTTGTTTGTGCAAAGCTCTCGTCGTGCGGCTTTTCCGTGGTGGCGTCACAAGGTGGGTATTCCGAGTTAAGATACCCTAATGCTTTTGCAGATAAGGACACTGAGCTATATTGTGTCTACGTGTTTATAAAAGCCCTAGGAAAGCACGGACGCGTCTGCAGATGTCTCGACGCATCACCTATTATCACCTGTAGCGTCCACACCCATTCCCGCG